GAGGTTTGGGGGCAGATGCTGTCAAGAGAAGATGTTGGTGTGGAATACTGTTCAATACTGTTGCAGTATTTAAGTCCAGTGAGGAGAGGTTGCAACAATGGAGGAAAAGTATGTGGGGGGAAAGGGAGCGAAGATTGCGACGAAAGGAGATTAAAGGTGGAGGCAATGAGGGGGGGTGTGAGGAGAGAAATAGAAAACTGGATAAAGACATTGTCTGAGGTGTGGAGAGGAGTAATACGAAGATTGTGTGTGGTGCAGTTGCTTTGACAGATATGAGTTTATGAAGTACATCAGTCTAGTCCTGAAGTGTTCTATTTGTTTGCAAATGATTACATTTTTTATTTATTAAAGAACATCATGGCATAATTTTTTTTATCCATTTATTGTTGAACATAAAACAAGTTAGTTCCTGTTCTCACTTGCGTTATAGCAGCTATAAACAGTTGTTCCCTTACCAACCTCTCTTTTTTCTTTTAAATGAAGTTAATAAAAACATTTTCCATCCGTCAATCATACCTCTGTTACAAAGTGCTGATACCTCAGACTCCTTCCATAAGTGTTAAATAAACATCTCTTTGCAGAAAACTTCACCATAGCAGCAATTACACATGATTTCTAATATGTTTATGTGGAGCGTCCACCATACACGTCCCTGTGAAGGAGCTATTACTATACAGCGTGTCCCAAAAGTTTCTATACATAGGGAAAATTAACACTTTTTAGCAAAATGTCTTCCAAACCAACCAAGAAGTGGACGTCCACGAACATCCACTGACGAAGGCACAACCGATGTGTTGCTGGCAAACACAATCCCCTATGTATGGAGATTTTCGAGACACCCTGTAGAAACGATAACGTATTAGAACAAGTGCATTAATATAAAACTGTGATTTGCAGCTGCACTACTGTCAGAGCTGCTGTTATAGAAAATTAATCAACACCTTCTGACCAATCAGAATCCAGAATTAAACAGTGCTGATTAAAGAACAGATTTATTTTCAGAAATGTGCTGAAAACGTTGTAATCTAATCACCCCTCAGGTACCCCAGCATGGTGATGCACAATAATTTAAAAAGAGATAAGGAATCAATTCCACGCTGGCGAGAGAGGAAGAATGTGTTCAGCATCAGTTTTGAGGACAGAAGTGCATTTGCATGAGTGTGCGCTGAAAGAATAATTCATAGCTCTCAATAACTATTACACAAGCAATCAAATGAAATTCACACAAAAACTGAACACACATTTTATCCAAATTAAGTCCATCTGCTTATGAAAAAAAAAACAACAGTTTGTTCGAGTTTGTTTCTCCCGAGTGAGCAGTGTGTCTGTAATTCAGTTAATCATTTTAATCTCAGTTCCTTCATTTATTAATTCTAAAAGAATGCAATGCAGAATGCAATATAAGAGGAATTGTTCTATTTGACTTGAGAGTAAAATAAAATGGGCGTAAATATTTTTTGTATGTAATTGAATGCACTGTTTGCTGTAATGTACATACATTATTATAACACAGGACTGTTGAATTCTGGATTCTGATTGGTCAGAAGAGAAGGTGCGGATTAATTTTCTCTAACAGCGTTTCTGACAGTTATATAAATCACAGGTTTATATTAATGCACTCATTCTAATATGTTATCGTTTCTTTAATAACAGCTCCTTCACAGGGACTTGTGGACTAGTGGAAGATATCTAAACTTTTGAGTCACGTCGTCTCAGTGTGACAGGAAAGGAGACATTGTCGCATCTGGAGCTGACAGAGGCAGTGAGAGTGAGTGATGGTTCACGCTCACATCAGCACTGAATTCTGGGCTTTAATTAGCACACATTAGAGCAGAGAGGCAGATGTCAGGCTGATTCCCGCCATCGTTGGACATTCATGAATCACACAGTGCAGCTTTGAGACAGATGTGTCTCCCTGTCTCGCTGTTCTCTTTCAGAAACAAATCTCATGAGAAGTGGAAAAAGAGTGAGACAGAATAAGAGACAGCAGATTTACTTACAAATGGATGTAAAAATGTTAACAGTTTAAGAGTAGCATTCACAGTTTTTGACCTGTTGCTACGGCAATACGGGAGAGACCAGAAAACTAAGCATTTCTGCTTTTTCAGCTAAAGCACTGGTCTCAGACCAAACACAAAGAAAATTCACCCAATTCATGTGTTTCTGTTACTGGTTTGGTTACTGGCCTCGCACCTCCAGGGTTGGGGGTTCAGTTCCCACTACCGCCCTGTTTGCCCGGAGCTTGCATGTTCACCCCGTGTTTCGGGGGCTTTCTCCAGGTGCTCCAGTTGCATTGTAGGCTGATTGGCATCTCTAAGTTGTTCATAGTGTCTGAATGGATGTGTGAGTGTGTGTGCAGTTGTGCTGTTCGATGGATTGGCACCCTGTCCAGGGTGTGCCCTGCCTTGTTCCTCGAATCCCCTGGGGTAGGTTCCAGGCTCCCCGTGACCCTGTGTAGGATAAGCAGTACAGAAAATGGATGGATAGATGGATAGCTACAGTGGATATAAAAAGGTTTACACACCCCTCTTAAATTTGCATGTTTTTTGTGATGTAAAAAATCAAGATAAATCATGTCAGAAATTTTTCCACCTTTACTGTGATCTAGCAACCAACAAAATTCAAGTAAAAAACAAACAGAAAGGTTTTAGGGGAATAAAGAACAAGAAAAAAAGCTTGTGCACACCCTTTTATAATGGAGCATGTGACTGTGCTCGGAATGAACTAATCACATGTAAACTCACGTGCAAAAGTAATTATCACACACCTGTCATCAGTGAAGTGATTCTGATTAACCTCAAATAAAGATCAGCTTTTCTATAGGATATTCTTGACATCTTTTTGGTTTAATCTGATTTCTGATCCTCAAAGAGCTTACAAAGCCTGTGCAGGATCTCATTGTTGATCAGGAGAGAAGAATTTCCGAAACATTAGATGTAACATAGAACACCATGAAGAACATCAACAACAAGTGGAGAAAATGGAGGACCACAGTGACATCACCAAGAACAGGACGTCCCTCCAAAATTCACAAAAGGACAAGATGAAAACTTACCAGGGAGACTGCCAAGAGACCTACAGCAAGATTAAAGGAGCATGAATATCTGACAAGTACTGATCACTCCCTGCATGTGACAACAATCTCTCATATTCTTCACACGTCTGGACTATGGGGTAGGGTGGGTAGGTAGAAGCCCTTCCTCAGGAAAAAGCACTTAAGCCCTAAATCACCCTAAACCATGTGTTCTGGGCTGCTGAGTCCAAGGTAGAACTTTTGGCCGTAATTCTAAAAGCTATGTTTGGTGCAAAAACAAGACAGCTTATCACACATTGAACACCATACCCACAGTGAAGCATGGTGGTGGCAGCATCATGCTATGGGGCTGCTACTCTTCAGCTGGGACTGGGGTTCTAGTCAAGATAGAGGGAATCATGGATAGCTCCAAATACCAATCTATTTTGGCACAAAACCTGCAGGTCTCTGTTAGACAGCTGAAGATGAAGAAAAATTTCACCTTCCAGCATGATAACGACCCAAAGCACAAATTAAAGTCAACAAAGGAACGGCATCAGAAGAAGAAGAGCACTGTTTTGGAATGACCCAGCCAGAGCACAGATCTAAATCCTATCAGAAACCTGTGGAATGACTTGAAGAGCACTGTGCACAGGAGATCTCCTCACAAGTTTGATAGATCTGGAACATTTCTGCAAGAAAAAAAAGTGGAATAAAACTGCCAAGTCAAGATGTGCTAAGTTGGTAGACTTTTAAAAAGACTGAGTGCTGTATTACAAGCAACAGGTGTTTAGGGGTGTGCACACTTATGATGGTTTGTATGTTTTTTTATTTTATTTTTTCCCCTAAAATATTTCTGTTTGTTTTTTCCATTGAACTCCATTTTGTTAGGCGCTGTAACACATTAAAGGTGGAAAAAGATCTGGGCTGAATTGTTTGCTCAGTAATAATAATGGAGGAGCTGCTTAATTTTCAGTAATGCTTACACCAAAATTTTGCCTCACTGTTTTCACTTTTACTTGAAACTCATCTGAAAAAAAAATGCAGTTTCATCCACTGACACTACACTACCCTACCCTATGGTAACGGGTTTTCCCCTCTCCAGGATTTACTTGTTAATAATGTTAGTACCTCCAGTACTCATTTCAATCAGCTTCTGTTCTCTTAAAGATTCTGAAGAGTGGCAGAAAAAAAAACCTATACATTATCTAATGAGCACGAGTCGTGGAAAGACTGTAACCCTCTGTAACACCCTGTAACACCCTGTAGCACACTGTAACACACTGTAACCCACTGTAACACCCTGTAACACACTGTAGCACACTGTATCACACTGTAGCACACTGTAACACCCTGTAACACACTGTAGCACACTGAAACACCCTGTAACACACTATAGCACACTATATCACACTGTAGCACACTGAAACACCCTGTAACACACTATAGCACACTATATCACACTGTAGCACACTGAAACACCCTGTAACACACTATAGCACACTATATCACACTGTAGCACACTGAAACACCCTGTAACACACTGCAACATAGTATATCGCCTCACTGTAACAGACTATATCACAGTCACACCCTATAACACTCTGCAACACACTGTAACACCCTACAACAGAATGTATCACGCTGTAACACCCTACAGCATACTATATCACACTGTACCACACTATAGCATACTATACCACACTGTAACACATGAAATCACATAACACATTGTAACACACTATATCACATTATAACATACTATATCACGCAGTCACACCCTATAACATGCTATATCACACTGTAACCCTATATCAAACTGTAACACCCTATAACACACTATATCACATTATAACACACTGTAATAGCTTACAATAAACCCTTTCATTTCACTTGTTTCTCACGCTAACAGCCCTCCCCATTTCTGGGCTTGGGACCGGCACTGAGAGTGCACTGGCTCCCGCACCCCTCCAGTGGCTGGGGTTGGTTCCCTGACCGGGAATCGAACCCGGAACATGGCGATGAGAACGCCACATGCTAGCTCTAGTCCACCAGGGAACCGCTGTAACCGGGACAGTAATTTATGTAAAACTCCTGTGCTGTTATTAACAAGTCTGTCTCAGAGGCCATGGCATCCATCTTGTCTTCCTCTTAGCTCTGTGTGTGTATCATGTCCTTTATCTCATTATTCAGTTTGTTCAGCTTAACATTTCCACCTGCTGAGCGCCATCTCTCTCCATCGCCTCACTGCTCTCTGTCTTGTTCTGTCTCCCCTCCCCTCTCTCTCTCTCTCTCTCTCATTCTTTCTCTCTCTCTCTCTCTCTATTTCTCTCACTCTATCTCTCTCTCCTTCCTCTCCCCTGAGACACATCTCTGTTTGTTTTCACATCTCCACATCTTCCTCTGTGCGGTAATCTCTCTTTCAAATATTTGTTTCTTCTGTCTTCGCTGGAGCTCGGCTCCGAATCTTCTCGGATTTTACACTTTTACACCTTTAATACAAATCCGTTCTCCATAGCGTACACACTGAAACAGCAGCACGGAGTTTTGGAGGGAATTTGAGATTGATTATAATTAATAATGTTTATAATAGTATTGAACTAAAAAGTAGTTAACAGAAAGTTTTTATGCAGTTGGTCACATGACCTGACCCGTTTACTACAAGCCTGAGTAAGATGGTGTCTGTATTGCAGCTCTGTAATGTGTAGTATGTAAAATGCGTTATAAAGCAGCTACAGCTATCATATTTGGTTTTTATAATCATTAAAGAGGATAATAGTGATATTTGAATACGATTTTATTACCACATTGATATCATCCTTACAGGAGATGAAATGTAAGCACTGTTTTAACCACTGGGATAATACCATGTCACTGTGTAATATATTGCCATGAAATTCTATCTGTGCACTGATTGGTTCCCTCGACGCTGGTGCTGCAGCCTATTGGCTACGCTTCTCTAACTGCGTAACCCTTTGTTATCCTGACTAACTCGCTGGGTGTGTGTGTGTGGGGGGGGGGGGGGGGGGGGGGGGGGGGGGGGGGGGGGGGGGGGGGGGGGGGGGGGGGGGGGGGGGGTCGTGAGGGGTTCCTCCTATTGTAGCTTTCACAGCAGCATGGTTCTCTTTTCTCTACGTCTGAACATGTCTAACAGAGCAAGTCTTCATACAGCAGCAGCGGCAGCAGTGTAGCAGATCTAGTCCACCAAGACCAAACCTACCTACACTTCATTTCCATCAATATAAGCTGTTCAATTCATTCCGAGAGTTGTCATGACTGAAATGTAACTGAAAGTAAAGAAAAAATGCATTTTTTAATTTTTATTAGTATATTTGCCTTATTATAATTTGTTTGCACAAGGAAATTAAACTGTAAGATACTATACTGACAAACATTTTTGCAGGTCTAATTCAAGTCTAATTTCCAGTGTATTATATATATTTGTTTTTCCCCCATTTTCCAAAGCAGGACTTAAAAAGACATACAGTTTGTGACATAGCGCTCTCCCAAAAGTAAAATTCATTCACATATGTAAGTTGAAAAAAATTGGGATTCATCAGAGCAAAATAGTTAGTATTAAAGATAACAACTTGCACAGGGAAATGTATGGCAAACGGATTCAAATCATGTGTAATCGATGATATGGTGAAGTTTTCTGTAAGGAGATGTTTATTTAACATTTACGGAAGGAGTCTCCAGTATCAGCACTTTGTAACAGTCAGAGGTAAAGCTGGAACTTTAAGTTTTCTGACATCTTCAGGACAGAGGCGTTTACACTTTGTGGTTTCTCGGTAACACGACAAGCTGAGAGTTTTTTTTGTCTTATTAACATCAAGAGAGAGTTAAAAGAGAGGCTGGTGAGGGAACAATATGACTCTTTATAGCTGCTATAACGTAAGCGAGAAGAGGAACTAACTTGTTTCACCAAGAGTCCATGACAATAAAGGTAACTGTAAACAGCTAAAAAGTATGACATGTTGTTCTTTAATAAATAATACTTTCTAATCGTTGTCAGATTGCTGTGGTATAAGAGGAATAAAACACTTTGAGGCGTGCCAGTAACTGCTCTTCCTCACACCAACCTGTTGTTGATTATTTTCCTAAAACAGCACAACACCAGATTAGAATGTAACTTGTTTTAGGGTTTAGGGGGAGAATACTGAAAGCGTGAATGCAGTGGGTAGTGATGATTATATTTCACTGATGCTGAAGCAGAAACTCTTTTGAGTGCTGATTGAGTTTGTGGACACTTCTCTTAATGTATTTATGGAAATATGAATTTCTAAGAAATGTCGTTCTAATCCAAATGTGTGAAAGTGTTTAGGGATGAACAAGCCCCGCCCCTGACCCCGCCTCAACCTCTCGTTCTGGTGTCAGTGAGCCACACAGCTTGAGCCGTGGCTTTCTCAGCGCATAATTTTACTCCTGAGGAAAATTGTGAATGACTTAAGCGGTCTCTCGGTGGTGGATCGGCACGTCCACTCCTCTCACCTGCCATTAAAAAAGCGTGATGGATCGCCAGGAGACACACACGGCCCCGAAAAAGTAATTACTAACTTTGCCTGGGGTGGAAATTTAGGAGATAAGGCTTCATGGATCGTCCGGAAGGAGACGAAACGGATGAGACAAACAGAAGTGAAGGTCACATCTGACCACACACACACACACACACACACACACACACACACACACTTCTAATGAGGCCTGCAGGTATTCTCCTGGCGTTTGCAGTGACACACGCCACTCGGAGTGGCCATGTCGTGTCCCCTCTATCCTGCTCGCGGTGGTTCAGTGGTTCAGTGGCTTTTCCAATCAGAACTCCAAAGCATGCTGGGAAATTCAGGACGTGTTATTTTTTCCCTGTCCGGGTTAATCGTGTCCTATCAGCCTCTGGGAGAGACGCTGAAAAATGGACTGTCACTACGACATGTGTTTGGAGCATATGTGTGTGTGTGCGTGTGTGTGTGTGTGTCTGCGTTGGGGGATTTCCCCAGGTGCTTTAGTGCGTAGTTTGGATCTTTAACCCTCTGTGTTCACTAGTTAGCTCAGTTTGTTGAATTTGAATAACTTCTATAGCAACACAGCAGTACGATTTATTTTAAAATCCTAAATTTATCTGATTTTGATCTGAAAATCAATAATCCTGATAGAACAAAACCCCACCAGCGCTTCTTATTTAGTAAACATTAAACGTACAATAATTAAATACTTACTTTCTAACTAGATTATTCCAGTCTGTATAAATGATCTGTAATAGCTGTTTATAAACTAAATGAATCACCAGTGTATAACATGACTATATGATGAAGTGTATAAACCACACACACACACACACACACACACACACACACACCCTTAAACTCCACCTGTATTAATCACCTCCCTCTAAACCGATTACATTAATTATCTATCCATTTTATTACTCACAGATTACGGAAATAAACCTAGAAGAAAACATCTAATAACCGAGGAAACTCTAAAGAGCTTCTGTTTCTGATGTTCGCTGAAAATAAAAATAGTCTAAAATGGAATCATGGGCCAAAGAGACAGAGTTTTGATGATGTGTGATGCCGTGTCCCAATCCACACTGTCTGCTTATCCTACATCCCCTGTTTGCGTCCTTTTCTTTTCCTCTGACGCTGTCTCTCTCTATCTCTCTCTGTCTCTCTCTCTCCTGTTCTCACCTTTACTCTTCCTGTCTTTTTTTCTTGCTCTTCTAAATGCTATGTAGGACCATTTCCTCTTTCCCTTTTTATATTCTGTTTTTTCCTCCTTTCTTATCTCCTCTCTCTTTTCTTCATCTTGTTCCTCTGCCCCCCCCCCCCCCCCCCACACTCCCTCACACTCCCTTTTCTGTTTTGCTCTCACTATATCTCTGTCTTTGTCTCTATCTCTATCTCTGTCTGTTTTTCTGTCTGTCTCCCGCCCTCCCTCTGTCCTTCTCTTTATCACTTTCTGTTTGTCACCCTCTCTGTCTTTCTTTCTGCCTCTCTTTCTATCTCTGTCTCTTGGTCTTTCATCTCTCTCTCTCTCTCTGAGTGTGTGTGTCTGTCTCCTTCAATCATCTGATGACTCAGTTTGCACCTATCTCACACACTCACACACACACACACACACACACACACACATATATATATATATATATATATATATATATAACGTGTGTGTGTGTGTGAGAGAGAGAGAGAGAGAGAGAGAGAGAGAGTTTGTGTGTGTATAGATGCTGAAGTGTGAAACACACACACACACACACAGTAATGCATCACATCAGTGGTGTGGAGCCGAACAGAGACAAGTAGCAGGTGCTGATTGAAAATTAATCTAATGATGCGACACTCGATATTTGACATCTGTCTCTGGATAAAGAGAGTATACACACACACACTCACACACACACACACACACACACACACACACTCACACACACAAAGACAAACATACTGAGGAGATATCTTACATTAGCAACTAACTGAAAAATACACATAAATCCAGAGAAGGAAAAAGCCAGTAGTTAAAAAGCAAGTGTGTGTGTGTGTGTGTGTGTGTGTGTGATTGTCCTCCTCTTTCTTGTTTCCCTTTTCTCCTCTTCTTCATTTTCCTCCCTCTCTTTCACTTTATCCTCCTCTTCCTCCTTCAGCTGTCTTTCTCTTCCTCCTTTTCCTCCTGCTTCTGCCCCTTTTCCTTCACATCCCTCTTTTATCCCTTTCTTCTCCACCCTGTCGTTTCCCTCATCCTTCTCCACTTTGAGTTCCTTTCTCCCCTCTTTTCTTCCTCTGCTCTTCCTTTCCTCCTCCTCCTCTTTCACTTCTCCTCTTTGTTCTCCTTTTCCTCATTCAACTCCTGAATTATTCTGCATATCCCTCTTTTCCCCTTCTTCTTCTCCTCCTCCACTACACTCTCTTCTTCCTCCTCCTTGTCCTCTTGCTTCTTGTCCTTCTCCTTTACACCATCTTGACATCTTCCTTCTCCTCTTCCTCCATCTTGTCCATTTGCTTCTCCATCTTCACTTTCTTCTCTTCTTCCTCCTCTCATCTACTTTCTTTTCTTCCCAGCTCTTA